TTCCACGAAAGCAAAAGATAGGTCATGGCCACAAAGTTGACAGATTCTTTTAATGCTGAAAAATAGAAGAAATGGAGATATACCACAGCTCTCAGAAAGAACCACAATTTCTCAACTCCAAATTTTTTTCACAGACAAAGATAAATATAGTGATAGGTGCTGGGATCGCTGTATCTGATTAGCGGTAAAAAATATCCAAATGAACTGAAAAATGTAGTGTGTGCACTGATAAGGGTTCTTTAACTGACCGATAGCAGTAGTTCGGAGCAGACCAAACTGTTAGCACTGTATCATTGAAATGCCACTTATAACCTTCCATGACTAATTGATGCGCCCGGCATATGAGATCGACGCCGTTTGTATCGCAGAAGGTCTAAAAGACTTTTAAGCAGAATATCTGGAACAGAAAGGTGAGATAGAGTAGACTTTCATGAATATTTACCTTGACAACATCAGCACCGAAGAGATAGCCGGCCCCCCGTGGACTCATACCCCATCCAACAGATGAATCTTCAGGATCGGACCACAATAAATCGCACATAGGACCATCATGAGGCACCTAATCAATGAATTTGAAAAATACGCAAGTTCATTTAAAGCCTTCGCAAATGGAAAAAAGAAAGGTGCAAATGGAAGGGCTAATGTTACCTCTTGCTTCCGATCGATTACTCGAATTTGATCTAGTGTTTGTATCGAAGGAGATAATCCTCCATGGACACAGAACGCCTGTATATACACGTAAGAACCATTTGAAAAAAGAAAGCGAAAATGCGCTCTACCTTTCCGTCAATTACAGCTGAGAGGGAGAGATAGTCGAAGACTTCGGTACACGCCTTCCAAACAGCAGCACTTCCGTATTTTCGTAGGCACTCATCGTAGAAGCCATAAACCTTTAATAAACTATTCGGTATCCAGTTAAGAACGTTGCAGATCAACTTATAAATGCTGCATGATGTTAAACTTCATAACAAATCTATCACGAACAGTCTTTTTCTGCTAGCATTAAATCTAGGTCTCGTAGTCCATAAAAGCTGCAAAGTCTGTCAGATAATTGGACTTCCATGATAATATGAAGGATGAGAGTCCTTCTTCTTATCAACAAAGGTAATTTGATATATTTAACAAATTATCGAAAAATGCAATTTTTTAAAAAAAAAATGAAAGTGGTCAGTCGTTATAGGCTGGATTGGAGATAACAGCTTCGGCTAGCTCTACTACATTTAACGAATGGAGAAAGAACTCCCGTACTTACTTCAACTTAAATAACGTAAAGTTCGGCAGTGTCGATGGAAATCATTTTACCATATACTCTATATATAAGAAGTGATGTACATTTCAGTTTCCCTTCTGATGCAATCTTTCGTGCTTTGCGAAAAGTGCCCATATGAAGTTCTTCTTGTCTATAATCACGTGCTATCGAGTATCGAGTAAGTCGCGACGGGGAATACAAACAGCACACTACAAAACATGATCAGTTACGCTGGTGGATGTCTCTGAACCAGTTGATCGACCTCCTGGTCAACAGGGGAAAGCATAGATCATATTGTGTGTAATGTGGTTATTAGTATTATGCCCCTTAGGGCAAAATAAACATAGTAGTTTAGCCCTACAGCGACTCAACTTGTATTTTGCAAAAAATATTTATCCTTGCAAAAAATTTTCCTATAAAAGCTCAGCGCTCTAACGTACTAACAAAGACCTCAGACAAAGACAAAGCTGATTAGATCTCATTTGCGCTTTCCTAGAGGACTAAAAATTAGAATCGAAAAATTGATGAATGAGAGACAATTTATCGTCATTAAAAATGAATCTTAACATAGACAGGTAGTGACACGTGATATGCAGTGGGAGTATAGCAAGCTTAAGCTGAGAAAATGTAAAAAGAAAGGGTACAAAGAGAGAATAGGCAATATAAGAATTGTAGTATCAGAAAATGATATAAGTTCTCGCTGAGATGTAAACATCAGATTACTATTAGTAGGCAGATGTATGAAGTAGATTTCATTGTTAGCGCGGACGCGACAAATTTCGAAGCAAAAAAAAGACTGATAAAGTCTAAAATACTACTCTCTTTTTTTTTCTATTCCTCCTCCCTACTGAGCTCAAGTATGATACGAAAAAAATTTGTGCTTGAAGACCGTCAAAACATAGAACACAGTGAGTAGGGCTTCAGAGATACGAAGTTTTGAGCATTAAACAAGTGACGAAACTAGAACTTACTTGCGTGATTTGTCGGCTCTCATGGTTTCCCCTAATTAGCATCATTCGGTCTGGATAGCGGACTTTTAAGGCAAGAAGCAGTAGGAATGTTTCTACTGAATAAAACCCTCGATCCACAAAATCTCCAAGAAATAGGTAATTTGTGTCGGGTATTTGACCGCCGACCTAAAAAAGAGAACAACGATTTAACCTGAACTACGAATAGAAAACGATTGATACCTTGAATAATTCCATGAGATCATAAAATTGGCCATGAATATCACCACAAATCT